GACAACGTCGGACCCGGAGAGTAGGCGAAAAGTTCGATGCGTTCGGCAGCTTGACTCTTGAAAGATTTTAGGGCTTCGGTCCAGTCCCACACTGAAGCACATGTGGCACATGTGCTGTCTTCTTCTGCAAGTGACTTCTGCGGACATATGCCTCTTATCACTCAGCAGTGAATAGGCACCCGGTAAGAAGAGATGGTTATGCATCTTATACCTTTCTAGCGCCTCACAAAGCATGGGTTGAATACTCTCCAGGGAGCTGAGAATAAAACTTGAGTGCACACTGGTCCATTGACCGGGGTAATTATATAGACCTTGAGCAGGCCTTATGGTGAGAATTTTGAGCACTATAATCATCATCATCATCATCATCATCATCATTTCGAAAGAAACGCAGGTAAGGTGTGAATAGGGTAGTATTACGCTCTTGTTGTTGAGTAACAAGACGTCTGAGTTGATTGCTGCCCGTGCTTTGTAAGTAAAAGCCATGAAATGACACTGCAGCTCGGTTCAGCGAACAGGTTAAGACATTCAGTAAAAGAGGATAAATATAGAGATTGATCAACTTCAAAGACTAAGGACCCCCAGAGCAAGAGCGGATTAAATGAGGACTGGTGGATTTACAATGTGGTTGACTGTGTACCAGCGTTACCAGATGGTGTGGTCCCATGCTCATGTTGTCAACCACTGGTTTACTTCGTCCTGAATCATGTACAGGCCGTCGTGATAGTGACTGACTGGCTGGCTGCGGCATCAATCAACATTCATTCAGTCAAGGTCCATGACAGACGTGTCGTGCGGATTGTCCGCATCTAATGCCGTTCTTAATACGTTTTATGGTCTGTGTGGGCATGAAGGGTGAGATCGTAACCACTCGCCCTTTTCCGTAACCAACGAAAAGAGAATTCGGCCTGTTCAGCGATTTGAGTGTTATTCCGGGACAAGCCGAACAGCGACTCGTGCCCCTCTCGTGGCCATTTTGCGACTTGGTTCCGTCTAAGGGCAAACGGGCATAGCTAAAAGAATTGTCAACTCGTTTGCCTAATGATTCACGTATAGTTCCCCCATATATCATATATATTCCAGATGCTGTTGAAAACACATCGGGACTTACAGTATAATACAGTACGATTGAACACATTTGACTTGGGTATATTTTTAAATGCAAGACATAAGTCAAATCAAAAATCGATTCGTTGACCGTACTTCAAGCCATACGCGCATTCTTATATACACTCTTCAAAAAATGAAACGCACAGGTAGTTTTTTAGGAAATGTATTGTACCTAATAAAATCGATATATTTAATTTAATATCATAGATACAAATATGAAATTTTGGAGCTCGATAGTCACATGTTGTCGTTGTGCAAAGGCATTGAAAATCATTGTCATGTCACATAAGGCCACAAGGGTGCGCTAAACTCAGTACCTCGTGTGACCGCCCCGGGCAGCGATCACGGCTCTGCATCTCCTCGGCACTGACTGGATAAGTGTACGAATTCTGTCCTGCGGAATTCTGCGCCATTCTGCTTGTATTGCGATGACCAGTTGTGGGAGTGTCTGCGGCGTGTTCTGACGTTGACGTACACGTCGATCGAATTCCTCCCAGATGTGTTCGTTTGGGCTGAGATCTGGAGATCTCGACGGCCACGGCAAGTCGTTGATGTTGGCATTATGAAGGTAGTCTACCGTGACACGCGCTGTGTTAGTTGGAGCGTTGTCCTGTTGAAACAGCTCCCTCTGGCGGTCAATTTTTGGAAGGAGGTGAGGTTAAAGAATTTGATTCATGTAGCGATTTGCTGTGAAATTTCCCTGTACCACAACCAAGTCAGATCTCATGGTGTAGGATATGGCCCCCCACACCATGACACTACCGCCAACGAATTTGTCGAATTCACGTACACAATGTGGGACGACGATAAACACGTTGTCTTCCATCCCGCCGGTGAAGAGGAAATCGTGATTCATCGCTTAACCACACTCGTCTCCAGTTTCTCAATTCCAAGGCTGTAAGCTATGGCACCATCGCAAGCGTCGCTGTCGATGGATCTGTTGCAAAACAGGGACGATAACTGGTTTTCTTGGTCGGATTCAAGTATCACGAAGTCTGGTCCGATATCCTCCTCAAACCAGGGATGCGTGCTGCAGTCTCGGTAGCTGTGGTTTTGCGATGACGTAGGTGGAACAGTCGAATGTAGCGATCCTGTGCAGGGGTGGTAACTCTTGGTCGGCCGGTTCTCGGACGGTCTGCAGTGGAATTGAACTGTGTGTATCGGTTTACAAGGACGGCAAATGGTGCTGTTGTGGACGTTGAAGTGGCGTGCAACAAGACTACGATTCCCCTCTTTCGATACGTCCTATGGCGATGTTCCGATCCGCAGCGCTGAGTCTCGGCATTTTCGAACTTGAAAAATGTTGACAATTGAATGACAAATTCTTGGCTTATGCTAGCCTTTTTTAGCCACTACCACGAGTTACGAATGCCATAACATGCACGTGCATTTTGCTTTACTGTTTTCCGTTTAAGACATTGCAAATCGACAATGGCTGCGTTTGTCGAATATCAGGCCATCAACATTTTCAAATAACATATATCCAGTTTAGATACCGGATTTTTTGTGTGTAGTCATGTTCAATGAACTACATACTACCTGTGCGGTTTTTTTTTTGAAGAGTGTATACACATACCATATTTATCGATAGGGGGACAAGTTTTCTTGCAGGTTACGGAAAGGGGCGAGAGGTGACGAATGGAATGGTTTGAAGATGGATCCATTCGTCACCACTCGCATATTTCCGTAACGGTGACGAATGCAACTTCTGACATTGAGGGATCATTTGTCTTCATTCGCCTCTTTCCGTAACCTGCCATTCGTTCGCTTCTTCCCGTAACCTGCCATTCGGTTTTGTTCCGGTGGTCAGGAAATGGCGGAGTCTGACAGATGAAATTCGTGACCACTCGTGGCATTCCGGGACAACCCGAACGACTGGTTACAGAAAGGGGCGAATGGTGACGAACATACAGATGGCGGAACTAACACGAAGGGAGGTAGAAATCATTTCACGCTTGTTCAAGATGGATATTGATGCGACAGATTGAACAAGACAGGTAGTTATGTTTCCACACGTTGCAATGGCGGGAGCGAGACTGTCACATTCACTACATACCACAGACTTGACTGCTCAGCTCGTGTTCCTGTAGCACTCCGTGATGACGGAATCTCGGATCTCAGGTAACCTACCTGCTGTACCTGCTGTAGACGCACCGTTCTAGTTACCAGTTACCGTGGTTGCACATAGTTCAATAGTTCATTGGTTGTATACATATGGGCGGGATGGTGCTTGACAGAATTCCTTCTAACAATAGCAATGGCCATCTACTGCCCCCCCCCCCCCCCCCTCCACACACACACACACGCGCGCGCACACACACGCACGCACGCACGCACACACACACACACACACACAATCAATCCTGATACCTGCTGATTAAAGAAACTTAGGGGATATCCCATATTATATATGTGATTTAAAATGTGAGAGTTTTTATTTTTGATATTTCAATAGCTAAGGGAAAATGCTTTAACATGGCTAAATGAACCAACGTTTTCTTCAATAATATTTTTGTTTTCATCTGACTGCAAAATACTTAAAAGACAAACATTTGAGAAAGTTTCATTTCAACCTATTATGTTGTAATTCGGGAAAAAATCCCCAAAACAACTGATAAAAACCCCAGAACACCTTATATCTTAGATGGGGTTCGGATGACCAAGTCCTCTACGGTGAAGCAATTCGCCGGCCAGAGTTGCGTCCCTTGGGAACCTATGATCACTGGTTCGAATCCCGGTTCGCCCCCTAAGGGCGGATCAAACATGTTTAAAAGGGAGGGGTCCAAAATTCCCCTCTCAGATAATTATACTGCCTAGAACTAGGTTTGTCAGCACCGTACCCGTGCTTGGGGGTTTCACCAAAGTGGTAAACGTCTGAGACCCGCACCACTTTGGGCTTTCCTTCCAAATTAAGATGACACATATACCAGAATACTCACTCACTTGCATCTTATACCTGACCACTAATATATATCCCTGAAGTAAGGAATTCGAATTAACGAGGGATGTAGTGTGTGAGAGTGCGTGCGTGCGTGCATACGTGTGTGCATGTGCGTGTGCGGTCATACTAGACAGATCGAACCAATGTCACCAGATGTTGCATATGACATACATCTGGACCCGTGAAGATCCGGTAGAGCATAGGTCTTTAGCAACCCATCCTTGTCGTAAGAGGCGACTAACGGGATCGGGTGGTCAGGCTCGCTGACTTGGTTGCTGCCCGCTCCTGGCAGACCACCAGATTACCGAGTCTGGCGACAGACCACCATTAGTTGATCCACTCCAGTAGAATGTCATAAAATCAGCCGGATCACACTTTGCAAGCTCCCCATTCCTCATGACTCGGCTGTTACAACAAACATAACTACTCCCCCCAGAATCCCCACGGGGGGTTCCGAAACGTAAACATCTCCACAAATCCGACTGATTTCGCAGTTAATGATGAAAAAACAAAAACAACGTTTTACAGTGACATAGCTGACGTAAAACATCTACCCAATCTTAAAAAAATGTTTTTAAAGAAATCCGACATAACCAACGCTGTCCCAGAAGCGGGCTGTTTAATTGCCCATGGCTATGCCGCACACGTCACCCCCAGTCAAGGGACACGCCCTTCTGGAATCCCTCCTTCACAACATGTCGGCAGCTGATTAAAACGACCCGCGCCAGGCTCGTAACTACAGACTACAAAGTAGGAAAGTATTGGCACTATGTGTCCGTCAAGGTCTACTAGACGTTTTACAGTAGACTGTCACTTGCAATTATCACACCGTCTTCTCTCTCGGCAGCTAATGCCTACACGCGCGAGGAGCACGCATACCGTGTTGGCATTGGTACTCATGCATTACTACGATAACCGTCGCACAAAAGAAAAAAGATATCACTTGGGAATTTTTTTTCTGTTTATTTACAAAAAATGACACATAAATACGATCATACAAATGCCGTGAAGCGATAAGCTCCGAATGTTAACCCGTACTGAATATAATTACATCGGCCTGATATGACACAGGGGAACACGATTCTCGGAACGTACTATATACATACATCTTATGATTGGCAATGACCATACATGATACAAACTTCATAAAAAAATTATTTTAAAAATCATAATGTCATTTACAATGAAAGACACAGAAAGGTTGAAAACTGTTTGAAAATTGAAATATTAATTCTCAGGCCGAATATCATTATTTGTATATTTTAAAGAGGGTATGCTTGTGATGTACTTGCTTTCCGGGCTATATGAGAATGGTTTAGTGACGTTAAACTGTGGGGGCTTCTTTAAGCTTGTGTAGGGGTAATGCATCGGGTCCTCTGGCCGCCAGGCATTGGATGTGAAGCGAGGGTAGGGGGACTCCAACGCTGGGTGGCGCTCCACCGTCACAACGCCCGTCTGGCTGTAGAGGGAGGGGCAGGGGCTGGACTCTTCGTCAGGGGTCATCTCCATGGTCAGGAAACGTTTGTAGTTGCCGACGTCGGACATAGTATCCGCAGGGTCCCCCTCGGAGGAGTGTTGGACCGAACTGCCGAGGCTGTACCGGTGGGTGTTGTCCTTGCTGCGGGGTGAGAGCTGGGGGTGGTGGGAGGCGGGGCTGGACCCGGCCCCCGGGCCTCCCTGTCTGGACAAGGAGTAGGTGGTTGTGGAGGAGTTGGAGACGGCCATTTCCAGGGCGTTCCGCTGCTTCTGCTGCTGCTTCTTCAGCTCCCTGTCGCTGCGCTTGTCCCGGCGTTTGTAGTGGCACGACACACACACGCCGATGACGACAGCCGTGAGCAACACTCCCCCGATACTTCCGGCGACGATGGCGTGTAGGGGAAGCGCACTTCCTGACGAGGCCACTGAAAATATACAATTAAGTGCATATTTTCTATATCTTCCTTCCTCTCTTAGCCATGTATATTTGAGTTAAGAATATTTGACACACAGGTGCCAAAATTAATCAACCTTTTAAAAGAATGACTTTTTTCTCTCTTTGTAACATCCTGTGAGAACATTTAAAAAGCACGTTTCGAATGTCTTTGAGATATAATACGGCATGATTTAGAGAATAACTATGAGGGATCCGGTGTTATCGGCCACCATTATATTCAAATGTGTGTTTGTTTGTTGTTTAGCGACGCACTCAGCAACATTCCAGCGACATGACCTCTAAATGAAATGAAATAAGTGAGTATGGTTTAACGCAGCTATAAGCAATATTCCAACAATATCATGGCAGGGGACACGCGAAATGGGCTTCAAACATTGTTCTCATCTTGGGAGTCCAACTCGGGCCTTCGGTGTGACGAGCGAACGCTTTAACCGTTAGGCTCCCCAATATCCCAATAATGGAACGACAGCGGGAGCTAGTAAGGTAGGACGCTTTAAGCACTATTCCAGCTCATATCACGTCAATAGCATACCAAACGTGGGCTTCACACAGTCCTTTTAGAAAAAGAAGGGTCGCTTTGGATTACGAGTTAACATACAAGTGTTAAATGGATGCATGTATTTCGCGAAGCCTATTGTCCTACAGACATATGGTGACGTCACTATGGTCACGTACCTTCCTTTCCGGCACAGTTGACCTCGTCCTCCTCCGCGGGGCAGTTGGGGATGCCGTTACAGAGGAGGCTGCGAGGGAGACACATCTCCCCACACTTGAACTCCCCGGAGGAACACACCTTCACACCTGCAGATACAACAGAATACACCTGTATATAATAGAACACACCTTCACACCTGCAGAGACAACAGAATACACCTTCACACCTGTATATACAACAGAACACACCTTCACACCTGTATATACAACAGAACACACCTTCAAACCTGTATATACAACAGAACACACCTTCACACCTGCAGATACAACAGACTACACCTGTTTATACAACAGAGCACACCTTCACATCTGTAGAGACATCAGACTACACCTGTATATACAACAGAGCACACCTTCACAACTGCAGAGACAACAGAATACACCTGTATATAATAGAACACGCCTTCACACCTGCAGAGACAACAGAATACACCTGTATATACAACAGAACACACGTCCACACCTGCAGAGACAACAGACTACACCTGTATACAATAGAACACACTTTCACACCTGCAGAGACAACAGACTACACCTGTATATTCAACAGAGCCAACACAACACACCTTGATATACAAAATTGAACACCTTCACACCTGCAGAGACAACAGACTACACCCGTATGTACAATAGAACACACCTTCACACCTCCAGAGAAAAAAACAACAACTCTCATCTGCATAATTACACAACTGAGAACGTTCACACCTGGAGACACAACATAACACATTCATATACTACTCATATACTACTGCTCAAACAACAGAACACATCTGTATCGACAATAAAACACAATTTCACACATGTATATTAAACTGCACATACGTAAAAAAGATAAACAAAAGATAAACACATAATATAATACAATTCTACCTTTGGTTCAGAACTGAACACATGCACCCACATTTCACAGAAGTCAGAAATCACGAAGCTGAAGGCAGAGTCACTTTGAATATCCTACTGATAAAATACAGCGCGTGTTTTTAATTAAATAGGACAGTCTTTTCCAGAGCTTGGTGATATATGATACTCATACATGTTAAAGAACACCCTCAAAGAAGGCTGTGTGTTGCAATACTCGCCAGCCGTGACAGATTAATTATAGTGATGTGAACAATTCGGGTGTTCTTTAACTTCTTTTGAGCAGTATACATTCATATCTGCGACTGGTGATACAGTCCAGATCGCATCAAAGATACGGAATGTTTATGACATACAATGTACACTCAGTCACATTCTGAAAATAGAGCCCAGAAAATTCAACATTTCAACCGATTTTCTGTCACAATCTTGGATTGCGAAAGGGTAGCAGATCTGGATCGAATACTATACTTCGCCCTAAACCTGAGGTCAATTGACGGTAAACTAATATTTCCACCAGCCAACAAAGTTTAGGGTATTGGGCGGTCCTAGCAAATTTAACTCAAGTTTTTGAATACAGAATATGGGTTGGGGCTATTTGATCTGAAAACTCATTTTTTTTTTTGATTGATGCCCATCAAGAACGTTTCCGAATTATTCCTGACACCTGTTTGCCACAAGTCACTAATTTCAAAGTCGGGACCTGTCTTGGACACACGCCCAAGGCATTGAAGCACATCCCCCTTTTAATGAAAAAAATATCCAAAAAATCTTGTTGACGCTGACTTAGATTAATTAATATTCCGTTAAAATAGTGGGGGTTTGGACGTAAGAGAGGTAAAAAAAAACGATTCGTTTTTCACCCTACAACTAATCAGCGTGGCAGATATCACGTGGCCTGACGTCAGTCCCCGAGTTGATCCCGCAATACTGACCATGTCTGTATATAGTGTAGACCATCTCTATTTCAGGCCGGTTCGAGGGGGTCTTCCCATACAGCCTGACAAACACCCTGTTCTCCTTTGTCTTCATCTCCGCCTTGGGCCCCGCACAGTACTGAACGTACTTCGTCTTGTCCAGCGTGGTGCGCTTGTATAGGGCGATGTAGTTCTGGTCGCAACGTTGTGGGCGCCGCATTGTCATATTGTGTGTCCGCACATAGATCTGTAATAATAATACTAATAATTATACTGATACTACTTCTACTACTACTACTACTACTACTACTACTAATACTACTACTAATACTACTAATAATAATAATGTAAAAAACTTCTACTAAACTTCGGGTTATGAAAAGAACCAATCCTTAACTTCCGGTTATAATATGAACCAATCCTCAATTTCCGGTTATAATATGAACCAATCCTCAACTTCCGGTTTGGATATGAACCAATCCTCAACTTCCGGTTATAATATGAACCAAACCTCAACTTCCGGTTATGATATGAACCAATCCTCAACTTCCGGTTATGATATGAACCAATCCCACACAACAGATTATGATATGAACTAATCCGTAGCTTTTGGTTATGTTATAAATTTACTTTAAGTTTCGGTCATTTTGTAAACCGAATGGTAGCTTCGTCAGGAATATTGTAAACCGTCAATATTTGCAACCGAAAGTCTAAATATTATTCGCCAGATATGTGCGTAAAGTTCAGGTAGTGCCTTTGACTCAAGGCGACCTTAGACACCAGGCGTTCCGCCAACCTACCCCGTAGGTCTTGTCTGTGTGGAGCTCCCACGTGCAGTCGTATGGGCGTGGCACTTGGTAGGACGTTATCTCGTGCCCCAGGCGGGAGGAGGACAAGACCCCGTCAGGCTTGGAGGGGGACACTTCCAGGAACTCACGACACACAGGGGCCGGGGCTGAAACATAAAAAAATAGGTAGAAAGTGAAAGGCAGTAGAACGATTCCAGCTGACAATCAAACCTGAAATCTCACGAAACACCTACATCACTTAAAGGAAGCAATCGAGCGAGTACCAAAGGCTGGAAGACCTTAAGTTACACGTGCCCTAAATACGTCCAAATTCCCGCTTCGGTGTTATCTATTATTAATGATTACTTCGCGTAAGCACGTGTGAAAGTAGGGGGCACGGGTGGTCCAGTCGTCTAAGGCGCCGCGATTCGCTGTGCCGAGTTGCGTCCCTTGGGCACGCCAGAAACCTATGATTGTGGGTTCGAATCCCCGATTATGTTTCTAGGTTTGTCAGCACCATGCCCGTGCTCGTGGGTTTCACCGAAGTGGTAAACGTCTGAGACCTGCATCACTTCGGGCTTTCCTCCCACATTATGCTTACACGCCGTGATATAACTGGAATACTGTTAAAAGCGGCGATAAAACCAACTCACTCACTTATGAAAATATCATGCTAAAATAACTGTGTTGAAATAGCGTTAGGGATGATTATGGCTACCTTACGAAAGCAGGCTTAAACAACCTTGGTCAAGAAGACGTGTAAGTTTTGATCATGTCAATATGTATTTTAAATTTTATTGACCAAAAAACTCTCTCAAAATCAACTATGAGAAACGGAAATATCAGAAGGACAATTAAACATATTTATGAATTTTACCTATGAAAAAAAAAAAGGGAACATATATTGACAGAAGTTTTGTTGATGACATTGTCACATTCATTGCCCTACTTGGAGGGAACAAGGTGCTGTTCGAAGCTTGGTGAAAATGTGAGCACACAACGTTGAGACGTCATGGCGCGAGTCAATAAGCGTGTTTAGCGTTAGATGAAAATACCGCATCTTGAAACTGCTACAGGTATTTACAGGTATTTAAAACATACTCACCTTGACTGAACACATTCCCATCATTCTGAGCTGAAGTGGAAAAGGTAAAGCATGTATAACATTATTATATGTCTCAGGTAAGTTCACCTATATCAACAAATGTCGACACGCACATGCACGCACGCAAACACACCTATGTCAATACATATCCAGGGGAGTACACAGACAATGTATATGTAATTATCACATAAATCACATATCGATAGATATACACTTGTTTATAGGTCACAATAAGAACTGAACTATCCTTGTGTTTTTCACAGCACATTTGTATAAATAGCATGACAGGAGGACAATATATATTTGGGGTAGAACCAGAGAATTTGTTTTGCCTGTTTTCGAGAACAATGTGTTCAAACGATCCTAGGCCACTCCCAGAATATATCATGGTCGGTCCTCGACTCGTATTCATAATAATATGATTATTTTGTTAATAAATATGCTGTCATAAATCACATATGCGCAGATCTTCGACCTTTTCTCAAACATGGTGACTGATTCAGTAATTGAGCGCAGTCAGTAATATTTCAGCATTTATTTGTCTTTTTAACCCTTTCCATTGTATAGTTACCACGCTCACGCCAAACCGCAACCGGCCCAACAGAGCAAGCCTGTGCGGGTATTTGACATTTTAGTGAGAACGCTTTCTTTGTGTATCTAGTGTGCATGTTGTTTTTATGTAACGATGAGAGTTAGTTTCATTGTTTTGCCATATGCCCTTGGTTAGGTGGGGTCAAGTTGCGTCTATTTCCCCTGCTATAAAAAAACACATGTATCGGTGACACAGCAGCGAGCATCACCAACATATTTTTTGAGTGAGGAGTATACAGAATATTTTTTATTGAAGTACATGTTTTGTGCATATGGTCTCGTTTATATACATTTAGTTACTGCGGGATATTGGTCGTTAGTCATGTCGGGACTATTTTTAAGTGGTGACAGTCGGAACGTCTCGGGCCATCTCGGCTATTTCCGACACCAAAATAGGGATATTACATAACTTCACTGTATAACAGTATAGTATTTACGACGGGCGGTTTTTGAGGACAGGTTAATATATGCTTAACAGAAATTATACACTTTGATGAAACATTTGAAACACCATAAACATGTATATGAAAATGATTAACGCCACACAAAATTATACATCTGGACATTGTTAATCGCCACCTACTTTATAGTGCCATATCAAACGGCCAGTTTTTGTAATCGTACCTTATCTATTTTGTCTGGCGAAATGTTTTGACTTACAAAGTAACATTTAAATGCAGAAACCGAAATGGATCCAATGATGTGTTTTGTCACTGTTCTATGGCAATGGTTATTGGACCATCCTTTCAACTACATCCTCTGCACTTTGCACCATATGCCATGACTTCTTGTACCATCTGCCGATACATATTGTGTTCTTGGTTTATTTTTGCAGCAAGTATAGATGGTACGTTTGAATTTAGACAGTTCTTAAATTAAGATCAGTCATATGTAGATCTAGATATTTCCAAAACATACATGAAAGATTGGAATATATAAAAATGAAGAAGAGGTTGTGTTCTTGGAAGAGACAATCCGAATCATGTCCTCGTACTAAGAATGTACTATTTTGGTGCTCTCGTGGTGTTGATTTTCTGTCGATGAGATCTTTTTTTTTGAGAAAATGAAAAATGAAGGCCTGAACAGTCTTAAAGTTGGACACTGAAACATTAGCTTCTGTTGGGATACCTAAAAGCCTAGTCGCCACCTTGCACACACAGCTAAATCTTTCATTGGAAATAGACTGCCGGGAAGTATACACGTAGGTTTGATAATGGCGAAAAATGAAACAAACAAGAAATGGTTCTTCGCATGATGTATTGGATACGGGCATCACGGGCGATATTGGACTTTAAGATGGCAGTGTTTTGGCAACTTTTTTCAGCATAGAAACATAATCAAGCCAAACCGGGAATCGAACCCACGATCATAGGTTTCTGGCGTGTCCAAGGGCAGCAGTTGTACAGCATATTGCGGCGCCCTAGACGGCTTGGCCACCCTTGCCCTCCTCATACAGTTGGTAGTTCATCTGTTACCGTAATATCAAATAACCGGGAGTTCTTTAACTTCTTTTGAGTAGTATATCTAATAAAGGGTGTTCGCGACTTACTGTTGTCTTTGATGTAGGAGTAGATGGCCTTGAATCCCTCATCCTGAATGAGGTCATCTGATTTGAACCTCATCCACAGGAAGCGCGAGGTGGAGGTGACGAGCGGGGGAAAGTCGTCCCCGCAGAAGCGCTGTATGAGGGGGGAGTAGGCGAAGGGGCCGTCCCGCACCTCCAGGTAGTCGTACTTGCATTTCTCCGACTTCTCGATCTTGAACACGTCCCTGAAGTCCAGCTGGATCTTGAAGTTTTGGGGCGCTGTGGACACAAATGTGAAGGAATGAGGGAATGAATGAATGAATGAATGAATGAGTGAAGGATTGCGTGAAGGCGTAAAACAATAATTCAGTACTGTGTACGAAAATCCAAGGACGGATGATATGAAAATACACGAAAAATCACCAGTAGGATTTGGGAAGGGTGGTGCCTTGGGGTGTCGTTCAGGAGACGGGGTCGGGGCATCTTCCCGAGGCAAGGGTGTTAACTGAAAATAAATGTCTAGTTTCTACCCTTGCCGAACTGGGCTTGTTATATGGAGTTATCCTCTGGCTGCACTAACGAGTCTATGCATAGTCCAATCAAAATCGCGTGACGAAATCGGGGTCGGGGTGACGAGTTGGATAGAGCAGGGGGATCAGGAGACATGGGCCGAGATGAGGGGTCGAGGGGTCAGGAGGGGGTTTGTTGAAGGGGAGCGGAAAAGGGGACAGGGGTTTGAGGGACTGGGTGAGTATTCGGATGGACAGACGGGATGAAGGAATGGTGTTAGCCAAGGGGTGTTATCCTATTTGGGGGGTGAGAAATCCGACTGCCAGGACGAGTGAGGGGGTATCAAAATAGAGCCGGGCGAGGCAATGAGAAATGGGGGTGGGGGCAGATGGGTTAGGAACAAGAAATACACGGATAATGTTGTCAGTCTAAAATTACGGCGAAATAATGCAAACGCTTTGCATAAAGCAAATAAAAACTCTCCAAAATGGATATAACCCTCTTTGTGAACAGAAGTAACGGTACATCTGATACATGATGTAAATGGGAAAATGTTGATGTTTATCGCTAACATAAATACACACACTACACTTTACCCCCGCGGGCTTTAATTGGACGGAAAACTAAGCGTGAGTGCGGCGGGATATCTACTCATACCATTCACTGTCAGATTCTGTAGATGCTCCCGGGCTAAAAAATATGTAACACTTGATAGGGTCATCAATAACAAACGCCAAAATGGATTCTTTATTTTCCCCATCCCGAAATATCTCGGCAGTGATGGGATTATGTCCATGTACTAAGTCACACTCTGGAAGATAAATAAGCTGATTTTCAAAACTGATTATTTATTTTTATATAATTGAAAATATAACAATCCGTCAACATGGCGTCGGACACATGTTTAAACGTTCAAGTCACGTGTAAGCACACTATCCTAATAGATAACAGTTCATGAAAGTTTCACATGTTTAGATTCTAAAAGGAATTACTGACTGTATTTCTCTAATCGCAGTAAAAGGAGAAATAACCTCTTTTTTGTCTTAATTTTGACGCATACCTCAAAATGGAATCATATATGTTTAAGTTGGTTAATTCAATAGATTATCACACCGTTATTTCAAAAGTTAGAACAAATATGAACTTAAATACCACACAGCCCTGGGGCGATATAAACACAGAGAAAAACTAATAACGACAAATACATCTGCATTCATTTGTAGTTTATTTCTCTGAAAAACACTCCCATATACATATATAGTCCTCAGCAACCCATGCTTGCCATAAAAAGCGACTATGCTTGTCGTAATAGGTGACTAACGGGATCGGGTAGTCAGGCTCGGTGACTTGGTTGATGCGTGTCATCGTATCCAAATTGCGTGGATAGATGCTCACGATGTCAATCACTGGATTGTCTGGTCCAGACTTGATTATTTACAGACCGTCGTCATATAGCTGGAATATTGCTGAGTTCTGCGTTAAACAATATAAACAAAAAATCAAACAAACGATAGCCATTTATATATTTTCTAATTTACCCTTAAAGTTCAGAATGATAGTTCAACAGATAGTGCGTTCGCTTGTCCCGTAGAGAATACCTGGGTCTATTCATCACCAGAAATCATAACCGACACCCTGCCAGGACAGCGTGAAAACTCACCCACTCACTTCGCTTTAACCTTTTAAACCTCTTAGCTTGATAAGCTGATTTGAAACCTTTCATTAAATTTCAAATGACAGTCATAAAAAATGCTAGAACAAAGTTCAAGTTGATTATACAAGTTTACACAAAGTAAACAAACTTATACAAAGTTCAACAAATTATATTTTGTTTGTTTATGGTTATTTTTCATATTCTGACAAACATTTCGTCCACACACTTATCTTTGGTAGATAGCTTACGATCCCAAAGTAGGTCAAATACTCTCATTCGTGATCGTGACGTCATATTTATTATTGTGCACTTATAATTCAAAACTCGACACATCGATATATTTCAACAGGATATCAAATATGTCACCCACATTTATTGAACCTTTCTTATATTGACTGGTTCTAGACTTCAATACATACGAAAATTATTTTTTCCAAAATATTCAAATCGATCTATTTTTAACTGCAAACTCTGTCGGGGGTGCTCTTTTGTTTAAAATAATATTTCTTCCCAAAGGGGAGGAATAATAATACCATATACTCGATTTGATGCCGATGTCCCCTTTCAAAAGCTCTGATACTGCATTTTGAACCAGGATAATCTAGAATGGTAATATGTGTCATATTTCCCCGCGAGATGAGGCACCTAAGAATGTATTCTAAACATATTTAAAAATAATTTACACGACAACTGTTACATCAGTTTTATCTGAAATTGATCTATGAGGCTTGGCATTCCTGGGTAATCTCATTTTCTCATGACGACAGCGGCGACAGGTTGCGAGATTGCTCGCGATCATCTCGCCATCTCTCGCTCTCCTCTCACGCCTTATCACACCCATGGGATGCCCCCACCTTCCAACTAAACGCTCGGCGTAACAGTATATGTAATATTTAGTCGCGCTGATAAGCGAGGGTGAGTCCAAGGCTCCGGTGATTGACAAGGGATGCTCTAGAGGTGGCACAGCCACGGGGAGGGTGTTGATAATATCGCTTAACTGTAAACACCAGTAATTTTGAATTTAGCTTTTCGACAGTTTCGAAAACATGCACGGGACTATTTCTATCGTCTCGTTTATTATTGTCCACGTGGCGAGCATTCGCTGACTAAATATTTTCGTCGTTTTGATTACGTTTCATAAACTTCAGTTTCCACATGTACACATCAAGGGTACTATTCGATAGTTCCTTGTTTATTTTATTCGTAAACACCATGGTATAGAATTGCAGTTGATACATCTGGAGAGAATATGAACCATTCTTCAAAGACATTATCAGAGACCATATACAGATATGTTTGGAATTATATGAGAGTCGAGGTGTTAATATAGGCACAAGGCCTTCTTCCTCAAAGCAATCTAAGCACTACGATGATCGTAACTCTTATACCAGTCTGTCATACAGACCCGGGGCCACGGGTTGCCCAGTTGTCTTAGGCGCCGCTATTAGCTGTGCAGAGTTGCGTCCCTTGGGCATGCCAGAAACCTATGATTGCGGGTTCGAATCCCGGTTCGCCACGATTATATTTCTAGGTTTGTCAGCATCATACCCGTGATCGTGGGTTTGACCGAAGTGGTAAAAGTCTGAGACCTGCATCACTTCGGGCTTTCCTCCCACATTAAGCTGACACGCCGCGATATAACTGGAATATTATTAAAAGCGGCGTTAAACCCAACTCACTCACTCACTCACTCACTCACTCACTCATACAGACCCTGAAACAAATATATCCAATACAGCCCATGTAAGTCTATGATATTTGGCAAGTCTAGATTACTTCTATACTTTGGGCACTGACTTACGACAGTCGCAGCACTAAAATCGCTTTACGGAACGAGTCCCTGGTCACCGAGAACAATGACCTCAAGTCCCGAGCACTGCAGACTAGACCGTAGTTCGACACAAGCGGAGTTCTAACATAAGCCAGTGGTGTTGATAAGTATTCTATCAGGATATCATCGTAAAGGATATATCGAGTTCACGAGTTCGATTAAACGAGGTTTTACACAGACAAAGTGGACACAATTTATGGATAACAACTTCTTTATTTTACTGTTATGGCGACGTTTCAGTATAGATCCTTACACACGTACACCGTTGTCAAGCAAGGCTGAATAATGAACATGGTACAGAATATATATATATATAGTAGGTGGAGGATTAACAGTAACAACAGCCGCCATTACAGTAAAATAAATAAGTGTCTACTTTGTCATCCGTCAACTTCTATGTAATGCCAATCACACAATAAGAGGTTTTACATATGGAATTCAAAAGTTTGCAACACTTGGAGTATTTGTTTTATCGGCTCCAGCATTGACACTGCACAACTGAACAGCTGTCATGGCCCTTGGTGGCAGATGTCATTGCCATATGAAACAGTACTATAATGTCACTATAAAACAGTATTACTGACAATACGAGACACTTGCCAGTGCCCTACGACATATTTGCCTTGTCCTACGAAACAGTATTAATGACAATACGATACAGTAATCACGATCCTCTGAGACAGTTATCAAGGAACTACAGTTGTCATGGGACTTTCAGACAGTTATGGAACAGTGAGACAGTTGTCATGGCACTACGAGACAGTTGTCATGGGCAACGAGAAAGTTGTCATGGAACTATCAAACAGTTGTCGTGGAACTACGAGACAGTTGTCATTGGCAACGAGACAGTTGTCATTGAACTACGAGACAGCTGTCTCGTAGTAACGAGACAGTTGTCATGGAACGATGAGACAGTTGCCATGGAACTACGAGACAGTTGTCATGGGAAACGAGACAGTTGTCATGGAACGATGAGACAGTTTTCATGGGCAAAGAAACAGTTGTCATGGGAGTATCAGACAGTTGTTATGGAACGATCCAACAGTTGTCATGGAACTACGAGACAGTTGTCATGGGCAACGAGACAGTTGTCATGGAACGATGAGACAGTTGTCATGGAACTACGAGACAGTTGTCATTGGAAACGAGACAGTTGTCATGGAACGATGAGACAGTTGTCATGGGCAAAGAAACAGTTGTCATGGAACTTCGGTTGGATGAGATGAAATGGGGTTTAACGTCGCGTTCGATATTATTGCACTTATATAGTGACGTGCATGTAACGCCCGTGTTTGTGGCTGCTCGTACTAGTTTTATTTCTTCTACTAGGATTATTATATGCCGCTTTTTGTACTGGACCACAGAGCTATCATGTCATAGTTGGATACCCCACTCAGCGACACAGTATACTGACTACTAGCCGACCAATGTTTGTTTTATCCCCTAATGCAGAGCGCCAGGCGGGGTAACACCAAGTACTAGTATCTCGTTTAACGTCTTTTGGGACCGAACTACCGAGCTTCCGCTTTCCCGTCAGGTGCGCTATCTACTAGACCACCAGGTGGTTCATGATAATATATATGTCATAGCCTACCTTCCAGGTATAAGACACAGTCCGTGTCGTTTGTGTATTTGTTGGGGTATCCGGGACTGTAGAACTCCATCTTTTGATAGTTGCCGTAGGTGAAGTTCCAGCACTTGGGTGACACGTTGTCGAACGTCATGGGCGGAGCGGCGATCCGTAACGCCATGGGCTGCGACACTGCAACACACACAACACGTACATGATAGGCATGACTGTTACTGTATGTCAACGATTCCTTTATATACAAAACAGAACAATCATCTTCGTGTCCAAACTCTGGTTGAGTAGGTGAGTGGGTGAACGGGCGAGTAGGCGAGTGGGTGAGTGGGAGAGTGCTGAGTGGGTGAACGGGTGAACAGGTGAACGGGTGAGTAGGCGAGTGGGAGAGTGGTGAGTGGGTGAACGGCTTAGTAGGCGAGTGGGTGAGTGGGAGAACGGGTGAACGGGTGAGTAGGCGAGTGGGAGAGTGAGTGAGTGGGTGAACGGGAGAACGGGAGAACGGGTGAACGGGTGAGTAGGCGAGGGGGAGAGTGAGTGAGTGGTGAGTGGGTGAACGGGAGAACGGGAGAACGGGTGAGTAGGCGAGTGGGAGAGCTAGGGCTTTACGTTTCTTTTACCAACATTCCCTCATCACCAAGATGAGGAAAACCAAGAACGAGCTTCACACATTATATCCATGTTAGGAATCGAACCTGGACCGGAGGCGCGACGAACGAACGCTTTAACTACTTCGCTAACCCAGAGTGCGGCGTTAAACAACAAACAAATATACAAACGAAGTCGTGTTTACACCTCACACAACTACCCTCATTGCATTTATATGTTAAATATCTATTGAATTTCTGTTACCCGTGGGGATTCCGGGTAGGAATACATGTCCCCAGCAAACTAAACTTGAGGTAAGAGGCGACTAACGGAATCGGGTGATCGGGCTCAGTAGTGATTTGGTTCATTGCATGTCTTCGTATCCCAACTGCGTGGATCGGCGCTCATGATGTCAATCACTGGATTGTCTGGTCCAGACTTGATTTACAGACCGCTGTCACATAGCTGGAATATTGCTGAGTGAAGCTTTAAACATCACACAAACAAAACAGAAATTATGCGCGGCTTATAAGTAGAGCTTCAGTACTTCTGTCGTAACTTCTTATAGATACGTGTGCCGCCATTCCAGAATGAATAATAAAGTTTATTGAGCGTAACACGTGTTACATCCAACTGCTATCAAATGCCCATAAAAGCAATTGGAACCGAAGCGACCAAATAGGTGGAACCTCAAAACATCCTTTCTCCATGCATTTGTTTGTAGTCTCAGCCCATCAACAGACATCCGTAATGGAACGGGCAATGGGAGGACTATAGGCTGTGCGTCATGTATGTGTCCGCTCGTTTCATCTGTCACCCTGGCTGTCGACAGCATTTTGTTAAAAATAAACACATTCTGTCACGTTTTAATTTTTTCATAACAATTTAGATTTTTTAATTACAAGTATATGGGGCGTTTCAGAGATTGTTGAGATAAGAAAGTGTACGACACTGGGATCCCTTCTCGCTGTTGGTTTGCGCATCTGCCTGTGTTTGCGTCACTTGCGCTATGTCAGTAGGCGCGGATCCAGTTTATGTTAGACTGGTGTTTTATTATCTTATGTCTTGCGTTTTCGGTACAGATGACTCTATAACGGAGCATAACAGCCCTGTCAATATGTATATTTCAATGTTTTGTCTGTTATTCCGGATGTAGTCAACGAGAGCCCAATTTACATTATATGCGTGACATCGTCGGCATTTATGTAACGTAATTGTCAGTAGAATGGATCAAGTCCACATCATATTCGCGACTAACGGGATTCCAGTCCATATCATATTCATGGATTCACCTGCATCTATACGTGATGTACTTGTCAGTAGACAGGATCCCAGTCCATATGATATTCGTGATTTCACCTGCATCAATACGTGATGTACTTGTCAGTAGACGGGATCCCAGTCCATATCATATTCGTGATTTCACCTGCATCTATACGTGATGTAATTGTCAGTCCATGTCATATTCGTGATTTCACCTCTTATCAATACGTGCTGTAATTGTCAGTAGACGGGATCCCAGTCCATATCATATTCGTGATTTCACCTGCATCAATACGTGATGTAATTGTCAGTAGACGGGATCCCAGTCCATATCATATTCGTGATTTCACCTGCATCAATACGTGATGTAATTGCCGGTCATGTCATATTCGTGATTTCACCTTCATCAATACGTGCTGTAATTGTCAGTAGACGGGATCCCAGTCCATATCATATTCGTGATTTCACCTGCATCAATACGTGATGTAATTGTCAGTAGACGGGATCCCAGTCCATATCATATTCGTGATTTCACCTGCATCAATACGTGATGTAATTGCCGGTCATGTCATATTCGTGATTTCACCTTCATCAATACGTGCTGTAATTGTCAGTAGACGGGATCCCAGTCCATATCATATTCGTGATTTCACCTGCATCAATACGTAATGTAATTGTCAGTAGACGGGATCCCAGTCCATATCATATTCGTGATTTCACCTGCATCAATACGTGATGTAATTGTCAGTAGACGGGATCCCAGTCCATATCATATTCGTGATTTCACCTGCAGGTCCCGCCAGCTGTAGCTACTCCTCGTGTGTTTATTCATCTGACTGGTCTGACAATTACTCATCGTATCTCCGTTAATTTCATCGGAACTGATGTTTATATCAGCAACATTCTCAGATCATTCAAAGTTTGAAGTGGGGTTTGGTTTAGAGGCGAGGGATGTGTTTGTGTATGGCTCCTCGTAATGATGTGGCAATCAGGCACTTTGGCAAAATAAAACACATAGCCTATGTTTACCCCCCATGTCTCTGTGGGAGGGATTGTGGCCACACGAGCCGCATATGGCTGCGTCATGGCTCTACATCTGCTGGGTGGTTAGCGAGATACATCACCCCTGCGTCCTACCAGCTGTACACGCGCATCGTGGGGCTACCGAGCTACTGACGGTTTCAATTTACTTGATATTCATATCTCTACTGGTATGTCATGGCACTGGTTGCCTCCTCAGCGTCCATGTTGGACGGCTGGAGGAAAAAGATACAACCCAAGAAAGTAAAAAACTACAGAACTCGGCATACATGTAATGTAGACAGGCCAAAGTTCACATGGCCCCTCTGAAAAAACACACCTTATGTAAGTGCGCTGATGTCTGCATAACCAAATCTCTCATGTTACGTATGCAGAAGAAACCAGAATGCAGTTGACAGACTTAACGACTAGATCTGTGTCGGGGTGGCAATGACGCATGTGTCGAGGTACTAGATCTGTGTCGGGATGGCGATGATGTACGTGTCAAGGGACTAGATCTGTGTCGGGATGGCAATGACGCACGTGTCAAGGGGCAAGATCTGTGTCGGGTTGACAATGACGCACGTGTCAATGGACTAGATCTGTGTCGGAATGGCAATGACGCACGTGTCAAGGGGCAAGATCTGTGTCGGGTTGACAATGACGCACGTGTCAATGGACTAGATCTGTGTCGGGATGGCAATGACGCACGTGTCAAGGGACTAGATCTGTGTCGGGATGACAATGACGCACGTGTCAAAGGACTAGATCTGTGTCGGGTTGACAATGACGCACGTGTCAATGTACTAGATCTGTGTCGGGATGGCAATGACGCACGTGTCAAGGGACTAGATCTGTGTCGAGGTGGCAATGACGCACGTGTCAAGGAACTAGATCTGTGTCAAGGTGGCAATGACGCACGTGTCAAGGAACTAGATCTGTGTCGAGGTGGAAATGACGCACGTGTCAAGGGGCTAGATCTGTGTCGGGTTGGCAATGATGTAGGTGTCAAGGGACTAGATCTGTGTCGGAATTGCAATGACGCACGTGTCGACGCTAGACAATTTTGAAAAGTATACTCATGGATAATAACATAATGGTGCAAATAATTAAAGAATATTTAGAAAATGTCATTAAAACTCCTCCAACATGTTATTTGCTTGGACAACCGGCAGATGTATGACATATATTACACTGAGGTCGAAGAAACAACGGACAGGCTGTATAGTTACACATGATAACACCTGCTGGGGGCATGCCATCATCTAGAAGGGAAGAAACCAACCGCAAAACTGCGTCGTCAATTCTGAAGTGTTCCTATTATTTATGAGTTCCATGAAAACATATCCGTGTAATAGATTGTCTATGTGATACTTTTACAATCAGATTCCAGTGTAAACCTAAATACATCAAGGATACTTTATATTGGCAATTACACATTCATTTTAGATAAATGGCTTATGAGAGGGGCTGGTAAAGCGCCGTGTATATTCCACGCTGGTATGATATCGCAAAACTTACGGGTCCGAGCTAATGCAAGCCACGTTTTGTACTTTCCTATACATGCGTGTTGGACTATTGAATTAGGAGTGTAGGCGGGAGTTATTTTATTTTAGATCAAGTCAACATCCATGTTTACATCTGATGCGTTACGCTAAGTAAACACTAAATTAACGTCGTATGTTTGAGGGAGTTAACAGGATGAATGATGGAGCGACGGTACATATGGGTTGGATGTACCGCTAATTCACCTTTCCGACTGGATAGACGCATAGGTGAGCGGTGATGCGTTATCAAGACTGTACGCATTTCATCTGGATTGAGTTTTGGTCCAGGCTGACCTTTGAGACGGACATGAACAAACACGAAGGAAGAAGTTAAAAAAAGTTGAGGTCAGTGGTGCTGTCACTGATCACAGAGGTCAAGGACACATATATTTAACTACTGCCAGCGTTGTCCCCAGAACATACAATCATCGTATAATCGTATCCGAAGCTTACAGTATACATGCAGTACCGTTGTCGCCAAAGGAGAAGTACTTAGTATAACGCGATGGATATGAATTAAAAGAAAAGTCAAATACATAAACGTTTCATCGTTGGGCGCCATTAAGTATAAATAATAGAAATTGTTTAAACTAATCGGACACCTTGAATATTCCGTGTTTCAATGCCTTTAATCGTTCAGGGATAGTATCCATGTTGCCTGGCCCTTTCGTCCCTTTCAGACACAAAAAACATATTCGCAATAACATTCACAAATTCACAATTACTATCCCAAAGTTGTCTCAATCACTATCGTCATTAAGCCTCAAGTCAAGTTCTGTGGCCATTGCCTCGTACGAACGACAAGGACCCTTAAACCGTACATATAATACACAATAGTCAGAAGAACGTACAGTCAATACACAATGACCATTTAAACATGCAGTCCATCCCACTTTCTGGCAAATGCCAGTCAATACACTGACTGTATGACTGACACAAGGCTACATACGATCACGATCATACTGTAGAAATACCCACTGGGGATCGAATGGGTATCGGGTGGTCACAATGGTTACTGAGTATGAACAGTGGTTAGTTAAGGGACAGGGAACACAAACCTTCAGCCGTTTGTTATTGCTCAGATCCCGACTTTGTAAATCGTTGCTCACACTATCGACCGGTGGTTTGAGTAGTTAGTTTGACGTATTGCATTGTGGGGCGTAAATACACATTCAGGCACAATCTTTAAAAATCGTCAACTCAGTTCTTGAACCTATTTCAACGACATTTTTTTAAAAACAGATCAGTGAATCGAAAAATTCAAGCCAGTAGGTCGGATAAAATTAACAATTTTAATTTTATTTTCCTCAAAATGTTAAGAGGGTATTGAGCAAGAAGGTAGAGGAGAATAGGGCTTCGTCATAATTCGTTGTGTTTTGAAGTGTTTAATTAAAGTATTTCACTTATTTCTGGTCCGTGGCATACTTAAAGGCTTTTTATTTTGTTCACATTTCATTTTTTGGGCGGATTCATAAACTTAAAAAAACGTCATGTGTTTGTCAGGCACAAAAAGACATCCCGACCTTCCTAAAACCAACCCAGCAAAAACGTTCTAAAAGTGATTAACAGATCTGGGGGTTCCTTCCTGTTAAAACTAAAAGTGATGCTATCAGCTGGAGAGTAGTAAGATGTCGAATACATTACCTCTTCCCCCGAGCGTCAATCTGCCGGGTACCACCACCAACACCGCCACCAGTGCAACCACACCTGCAAACAGGAAAAAACTCATCATGACACTGTCATCTGCGATACCCGCGGCAGCTCGTTCCCCACTTAATGAAGACTGTATCTGCGTTATCGGTGCGCTGCGCACACCTACAGTGATGAAACATGACATTTACTTAGCCTCTACACGAGTCTGTAGGAGAGGGAGCTTGTTAACATGAACAGCCTGCCCCTCACTGCAGCGCAGGCCCTCGACTGTCACAGTGAATCAGCCTCTCTCACCTGCAGACTCCACATGGCGTACTCATCGCTGATGGAATGGGAGAGGGTGGGGGGAGGGGGTGCGGGTGTTTGTATACACGTGACACAGTATCGTATAACACTCCTACTTCCTAAAAAGTTATCTCAGACCATGTAAAGTGGAAAGAATGGTTCTTTTTCGTGAGGGTCTTTTGAAATATGTGACGTGAACGACTTTTCAGGACGTGCACTATGTTTTACTTTTGTCCTGCATGTCTGGAGTTTTGTTTGTTAATTTCTGTCAAATTGTTATTTAACGCCGCACTCCGAAATATTCCATCCATGTGACAGCGGTCTTTAAATAAGTACAACAAATGTTATATCAACATATATATTAATATTAATTTAGCTTTTTAGTTTTCGTATAAGTGTTAAAATGTAAAGATTATCCGGATTTTAACGGAAGCGTTATCTTTTCTTGACTAAACTATTCCGCCATATTTGTTGTCGAGGTTGAACCGACAGTGAGATTATCTTTTGACCACAATCAAATTGTGTACAACGTTGCATGCAGCGTAGGATCTAGGGGTCGGGGAAGTGTACAACCGGTCTACCTATTGCATCCCCGGGGATAGGGTGTGTGGATGGTGGGTGGTGGACGGTGAGCATCTCCTCCGCCCCGGATACAACCGCTGCATCCCCGGGGAAAGGGTTTCAGGGATGGGGAGGAGGAGATACAACCTGCCACAATCCAGTAAAAGACCACAGCAATTTGTTCCAGTGGCAGTTAGCGAATACAGCAAGCAGAACACAACCCAATCAATTCCATGAAACGCCGCGGTAGGTGAGACGCGTACACCCATGTCATAGAGACGAGCCTCTGAACTTTATGGAGTCTAGCGCCAACATAACAGATAATGGCAAAATGTTGACATGTAAAACAAAACTGATGATCAACCCATCCCAGATGATCTCTAGAAGGAGATGGCAGGTTATGGACCCGTTCTCTGCAAGAAGAAGCGGTCAGCAGTTACCCCACGTGGTGAAGTGGGCCAGTCATTATGTCTCACGTCTTTGATCCCGGGCTATAATCAACTACGGCTGCGTGTACAAGACTGTAGTTCTGTGCGCCAGCTGAGGGTCGTATTCACGGTGTCAGCGTGTTTACACAGTAATCTCCCCCAGATGGTACGTCGGAACCGTCAATGCATTACTCGTCACTTGCTTGATAATACGTTACAACAATACGACTGACGTTCCGTTTCCATAACCTGCATGTCTTAGAATCCTGTCGCAATGTGACATCTTCGTCCCATTCCAGAAAAACACACCAGAAAGAAAGGGCTTCCTAAACAACCAAGTTCATGCTCAAACGCCTCTCAAGCTATTCTTGTTGTTAACCAGATGATAATTTGCATTGGAAGAGAAAGAATAATATATTACGTCGTAGGATGCATTTTGTAAAAAAGGTCTTCAATGTCTAAATTATCATCTGCTACTTTGGTTTTTAAGATGGCAGAACCGACACGTCCTTGGAATGGTAAATATTATTCTTTAGATAGAAAGAGAAGAAGAGCGTGGCAGCAGTTTTTAGAGTGGAACTATGTTCATGTTTGATAGTTTCTTTGAACCTGTTTCACGTATCATTAGGTACAGCGCATTATTATAGAACGTTAGCCTTTATTCGTAATCCATATTTCGCAATAAAGTCGCAGTGATCTTTTGTATATACTGTAACCATGGTTTTGTAAACATCAGATGGTATTCCTTTCCGTTATCGTTCGTTCAGAAACTTTGGTAAACTCAGTTGTGTATTCCTGTTCAGTGAAGTAGAATTCGGAAATACACAGAACATGTATACGTTGTTGTTTTTCTGGAGTCGTATTTGGCTGAAGATAGGGAACCCAAACCGGTTGTTTGTGTTACCTGCGCATATCCCTCTGGCTATCTGTGCAAACAACGATGGTCGTGTGTGTCAAATAAACACACACTCCGGTACTGAGAGTCTTAAGAATGGCGGCGCCGAAATTCATTCGGAACACACACGCTGGACTTATTACTCTAGACGCATGACCGCTGGCCGACGGTCTCCGTATGCATCGTTGTCTTCAGGGTGCAATTACCATAAAAACTCACTGAAGCAATAAATTTGCACTTTGAATTATATAATTTCTTTGAAGCTCAAGTATGTTTATTAGTCGATGAAACGGCTTCAAAGTGTCGTAATGACGCGCTAAATACCTAAATTCCTCATTGAGTGAGTGAGTTTGGTGTTAACGCCGCTTTGAACAGTATATTCCAGTTATATCACGGTTTGTTAGCTTGATGTTGGAGGAAAGCCCGAAGTGATGCATGCCTTTGACCTTTACCAGGTTGATGAAACCAACGAGCACGGGTATGGCGCTAACAAACCTAGAAACATAATCAGGGTAAACCGGGATTCGTATCCGTGAGTTTAGGTTTCTGGCGTGCCCAAGGGACGCAACCGCACATGGAATTGCAGCGACTTTGATGACTGTGCTATCTGACCTTCATGATCTCTGTTTCAATTGTCAAATTGACTGACCATTGGTCAGGAAAATAGGTATAAGATTAGCATTCAAATGATCATAAACACATCAAATACCGTAACGATTATTACTCTCCTCATTTTTTTCCACTATCAAGCCATAGATAAGATGAGGTGGGGTGGGGTTTAACGTCATCTAAAGATTATTTCCCTTAAATGGTGTCGTGCATTTGCGTGTGTGCGTGTGTGCGTGTGTGCGTGTGTGCTTGTACTAGCCCAGGCGAATGTTTTATAGTGCTATCCTTCAGAGATACCATGCCGTAGTTTAACATGGACACCCCACCATATGATGACTCAGAACCGACCAGTCCTTGTTACGAGTACCAACTTTTAAGGTCTTTTAGCGTTTCGTCTTTTGACTTAACCAGGAATGGAACCATCGGCCTTCCGCTCTCCTATCAAACCTACACAACCAGACGTAGGTTGAATGGAATCTCTTGAAATATATCAGCTAAAATTCACATAAATGTGAAGTAACTTTTCTGAAACACTTCATTAAAAAAGATGACACATTTTTCTAATTGTTAAGTTAACTGGTAAAAAATTCTATAGCGTACACGCGTGTTTTACACGCGCCGCAAAACCCGCCATCTGGTTTAATCAGCTACAATGAGCTGCATCTACCACGCGCCAATTAACCTATTATCGGCAGCCGTGTTCAGACTGGGTTCTGTATTATGCACCTTATTACCAAGATGGCCAACTGAAGTAAATCTGCTCCTAGGTGGCGCTCGCATCTGCCGTGTATTACACCAAATCTCCACACACTGCACCTTGACGAGCCCGACGAGGCAACACAGCCGCATTGTGACTGGACTTCTGATGTTGGCTTTTATTGAGTAAAATCAGTTCCTTATTGCTTAAATTGCTAGATAAGATAAGTTAGTTTATCTTGCCAGCATTAGGACGCACTCTCATCTGATCGGGAACAGCTGTGGAACTACAGACCTGACTAGTCCTTGCCGCAAGCTATGGGTTGTTTGAGAATAGACACACAGTAAATATATCATCAAGGTTTGCCTATGATAACACTACTACCCATATCATCAACAAATCTGTAAATAAGAACCAGCATTGCAAACATATGTAATGACTGCCCTGGTTTCAGGAGGAGCATATGCACCTCGTTGGACGAACCTTCGCTGTCTTTATTCGCAATGGTGGACTGAGAAAAGAAACAGTCTGGTTGCAATTAAGGCAGAGCTATGTAAAAATACATCTTAAGATATTAGGTTTCATAGATGAACCTGTGGATCAAACCCAATCTATATCAGACACCAGATTGTCAAAACACACACGGGAGTTAAAGAAAAGTTTGCTATTTCAAACCTGCAAAGCAGTTATCTACAAACATGACGGGTTGTTTTTTTCTTCTTATACACATTGGTGTTTGTTGTGAGTTTAAAGAGATATATCATTACCTTTGCAACTGTAATTAGCTGTAGGGAAACACTATACGATGCATCACCCGCATTTTACTTGAAACTGTCATCACAATTCAGAGCCCGATATCACAGTGCAAACTCATAAATACAAATTTTACTACATACAGTCATGCCTAAACACCATACTACATGAAACAATGCATACCTCGTGATCTTCATTGACTAAATATGTTCTAGGCAGGCCCTGAATGTGAATAGCCCTCAGCTGGCCAGCTCTTGAGATGTCAGAGCGGAATACCCATGGCCATACTTCAACCCACCCCCCACTAACACAACAATGCTGACATCTCTCAAACCATTCCCCGACGATAAAATATTCTCAATAGGAGAACGACGACCATTTCGCAATTCTTACCCACAATAAAACCGTTTCCTGTGCCGATGCCCCTAGCGTGAACTTTTACATAATTCTTGATTCGCCCTGAATCGCTAATCTCTCGACAAGTCGTGAATAAATCACATCCTAAACATGCTCCAACTGCCATTGTGCGAGGACTCCCCTAACAACTAATGGACGAAAAATGAAAGTTGAGACTCTGGAATGCCACGATACCGAGATAATTGTTATGACAGCATCCAATTGTTTTCGTTTATCTTGTTTTCTTGTGTGTGCCTTGGTCATATCGGATGGTAAATCCGTTTCGGGCAATCTATCATCCCCCAAAACCCCGACTGTAAATATCCATCCTACAGGGTTCCAAACAATTACTCACGATAATATATTCAATTCATGAATGATGTTTTTTCCCAGGTTCAAATAAATAGGCCTCTGTATATATTCTTTGGCC